GGAAATGCATGTTAAACCCAAGTTATACTTTACTGTTACTTTTAACTTCAAGCTGTTGAGATTTTTGAAGCGGTACAGAAAATGTATATTGAGCCTCTTTTTAAATTCATCATTGCAGCAGTTATTGATTTGTCTACTTAAATGTTCTGTTTTACTTCAGTGGGTACTGTTATTTGAAAGATTTATTTCTATGCTTTTTTGTCATTTTGAAAGAATTAGTGAGGTTGTCAGGAGAGGCCACTTCTGAGATACAGTGGTGGGCAGGGGAGAAGAGGCTTCCAAAACTGATAATAGATATGCAGCTACTGTCATAGCAGATGAAGTGGCTAGTTAATTTTCATATCTCATGTCTGGCATTTCAAAAGAAGGGTTGTATCTCCTAACGTAATTATGGACAGAGATGCAAATTGAGTAATTTTATACTAGTTTTTTTTTTTTTTTTTCTGCTGTTCCAATTAAAGACTGGTTTGTACTTGCTTGTGAATGTTATTAACTTTTTTGCCCCCCATGGGGCCCACTGTAGGTAGAAGAAGATTGATTTCTTTTTCTTGCTTCTCTACATGCATTTTTTTTCTTACAAGAAATGCTGGACAGCTTTCCTTTTTTCAAGGCACAGAATATAGATGTTTGTCTTAACTGTTTAGGACGAAGGGCATCTGTAGTTTAACGAAGGAAATCAAGTGTGCACAAATACTTGCTGAAATGAATCTTGTAATATAATCTTGTAATCCTATGAGTCTTGTAATATTTATCTGTTGCTTTGTTTTAGTTTTTTTCCCCTCCTGTTTTTGCTTTTGTAAGCTCTTTTTCTTGTACATGTCAAACAGCCCTGGTCTTTGAAGGTCTGATTCTTGAAGTTTGTCTACCATTTCCTTCCTGGCAGATTGAAAGTGTGTGGGGCTCAGGTGGTGACCCGAGTTCCTCTAATCCATCTCCTATATGCTGTTGGAGACTGCTTTAGTTTCCTCTGCCTGACATCTTTCATGTGATGTGTCAGGCCTGGGAAGATGGGATACTTGGAGTCTGCCCTGTTGAGTGCAGCTTGCTGTCTTCAGTATGCAGATTAGGATGTTTCAAGGTTGCCCTGAAGATATGCTGTGCAAGGTTTATAAATGGGTAGGAAAATTGGTATTTAACTCTTCCTTGAGGCCATTTTTGCACTGCAGATTGAAGCCACCACTAAAGATGAAGGCAAAAGTCTCACCAGCATAAGTCAAGTCAGAATTGGGTTTGAAGAAAAACAGACATGAGGGAACTGAGAATGCAATGTGGAAACATGTAAAATGCTACAGAGAAAACACAAATTGCTGATTATTTGAAATTATGGTTTCATCCAGGTACACTGGCATGAGCAATAATCACAGCTGAATGTTTGTGATGAACCATGTGTTAGGATGCAGATTGGAGGAGAGCCTTCATTTAGAGTTTGTGCTTGCTCTGATACCTTGCTGTTCAAAGGAAGCCTGTAGAATTTGTTTTTCCTTATGCAATGAAAGATCATTCACACCATGTTAGTTTGTATGACGTTGAAATGGCTTATCAATATTTTTACCTTTTGATAGACTTCCTTTTTAATTCAGGTGCTAGTAGGTTTCAGTAGAAAAATTAAAACAGTTGTAGATGTTGAAATTATCAAGTAGGGGAACCACACATCTGGGCATTTATGGTTTTATTGGCTCAAGTAACAGATCTAATTTAAAAGCAGAGGTGCATTTTCTAGTTCAGTGGAAAGTAGCAGTGTAACTGAAACAAAGTGGTGAGCTGCTACTGATCTGTTATTGCAATCAGCTACTTCTGTCACATTTTATGTGAAGAAGAAAGGGGGATATATTGAAACTAGCACATAAAATATTGTTGTAACATTGCTGCTGGCTAGATTTGTAAATGGAAATAATAAATCCTAATACAGCATTGAGAGTAATACTAAAGAATTCCCACTGGTTTATGTTATTTACAGCTGTTCTAAAGTTTTATTTCTTTTATTTATGTCTCTTTCCAAAGGGTTGGACCTGAGATGGTGCTCATAGTTAGCTAATCTTATGCTATCAAATCTCAGTTTTAGCTAAATTTTATGATAATGACAGATAAAATTGGTATTATGAAATCAGGTAGTATTGCATGGTAATCTGCTGGAAGATAAAATAAATTTTCAGAAAATATTGAAATTAAATGGTATGAACTGTTTGTTTTAAAGTGCTCCTAAATAACTGCAAATAAGTGAAAAGGAGTGAAAAAAAGTGAATATGTCTTTATGTTTATTATCCCCATAGCTTCCTTGGTAATACAGGAGTAGAAATTGTTAGCATTTCAGCTCATATGAAAAAAAAGACATATATAAATTTTCTGAGGTTCAGATTAAGGGTTGTGGTGAATGACAAATCATTCTATGATTCTGACTATGGAGATAGTTGAAGTCACAAAATGATGGAAATTGGAAGGGATCTTTAAAGACCATCTAGTTCATCCCTCCTGCCCTGGGATCTTCCATGAGCTCATATTGGTTGTTGAGCAGTTCTAATGATAGAGCATCCACCACTTCTCTGGGCAACCTGTTCCAGTATCTCACCACCTTTATCTAGGGAAGAAACTTTTTATGATCCAATCTGAATTTGCCCTCTCTGTTTTCCTGTGTTGCCCTTTGTTCTGTCCCTACAGGTCTTGGTCTGTCTTTCTTTCTTGCAAGTCCCCTTTATATAACAAAAGGCTGCAATAAGGTCTCTCTGGGGCGTTCTCTTCTCCAGGCCGAACAACCCCAAGTGTCTCAGCCTTTATTGAAAGGTGCTCTGATCCTCAGATCATTTTAGTGGCCCTTCCCTGGACCCGCTCCAACAGGTCCTTGACTTTCTTGTCCTGAGGATCCCAGATCTGCCTGCAGTTCTCCATGTGTGACTCATGAGAACAGACTAAAAGAGGACGATCCCTTCCCTTGACCTGCTGGCCACATCTTGGAAACTTTTGTGACTACATACTTGTATGAAGGCATGCACAAACATGATCTTCTTAAACATTCACAAAGAGAGATCCAGCTTCAAAGCATAGGCTTCATAGTTGTGGTAGAAAATCACTGTATTTAAGCTTACAGGCTTTGCTGAGATCAGAGCACAGTTTTGAAAAACTATTGTGGTTGTCTCCATTACATGATTCTAATGTTTCTATTTCTCCTTCTGAATTGTATATTGGCAGAATAATTTTTACTTAATCTGTGTGAGTTATCCATAAAAAGTTTTGTATTGTGATTAAGAGCTAGCTGGCAACTAAGCTTGACATGTGCTCATTCAGTTTATCTGTGGGTAGGACTGGGGAAAGTATCAGAACAGTAAAGGTAGAAAAACCTCATGGGTTGTGACAAAGACAGTTTAATAGGTAAAGCAAAAGCCATGCACACAAGCAAAGCAAGGAATTATTTCACTGTTTCACAGAAGCCATCCCCTTCATCATGCCTAGTGGTAATTTGGGAAGACAAACACCATCACTCCAAATACCCATCCCTTCCTCCTCCTTCTCTTGGCATTATATGTTGAGTGTGATGCCATGTTTTAAGGAATATCCCTTTAGTCAGTTGTGGTCATCTGTCACATCTGTGTCCCCTCCCAACTCCTTGTGCACCCCCAGCCCTTCCTGGTGGGATGGGGTGAGGAGCAGAAAAGGCCTTGATGCTGTTTGTGAGCACTGCTCAGCAGTAACAAAAACATCCTCATGTTATTAACACTGCTTCCAGCACAAATCCAAAGCACAGACCATACTGTGGGGGCAGTTATGCCAGATGAAACCAACATATGTAACATATGTATGTCATTCCATTATTTTCACTCTAACAAAAAAAAAAAAAAAAAGAAAGAAAAATGAGAGATATAGAGCTGCTGTACTTTGCATTCTGGCCTACCTGAATTCCTCCTCCTTGGAAACTGATTTCCAGATCTGTAGTTGGTGCCAACAGTGACAGAATACTGCAGTCACATTCCCTGTGGGAATACCTTGCCTAATTCCTATGAAAGGGTGTCCTTTTAGTCCCTCATGGAATTGTAGGCCAGTTCTGAACAGCAGATTTACCAGACTCTTCAGCCATTCTTTTTCCAGAGTATGGATTTATAAATGATGGAAGAAGTACATACATATAATGTCCTAAGTACGTCAGCTTAGGATATGTTGCAGGGTTTGTACCTCATTTCTCATGTTCAGTCATTTAGGTCTTCCTGATCTTGTTTCAATCTTCCACTCTACAGAAAGTAAATAATTACTTTGTTTCATCTTTTAACACCACTTCTGGGCTGTGAGTTTTTTCCAAAATTGACCTTTCAGAAACATCTCTAGAAGAACAAGAAGTTGTTGTTTGCCCCTTTGCCAGTTTCATACTTCTCTTTCTCTTCTCATCGTGTTTTCCTTTAGCTTAAATTATTATTTTGCATGTTATACTCTACTGCAGGTTGTTTTACTGCAGTCAGGATAAATCAGAGCTATACTGTTTCCTTATCTTGGAAATGCACTTTATTATCAAATGTATAAAATAACACTGACACAGGTGTCTTTTGGGAAACTCATATTGCATTTAAATGAATTTTCCATTTACATAAAGGTTGTTCATTATCTTTGCTTGACAATTTGTTTTCAATGTTGAGCAATATTGAAATGCAACTAATGGACTTTTCATGAATCACTACTAATCTATATAAATTTCTTAAATGCAAGTGTTACCTTTTGCCTGCTACTTAGCAATTCTAGACAGCAAGTGTTTACAAAGATGGACTGAAAGATGACTTTGTTCAGTTTTCCACCAAACTTGCCTGCTGAAATGCTTTCCTAACTTTTTAATGTTCACTTTACACTTGTGTGAGCCTTTAACTCCACAAAAGGGGCTAGCAGTCAGGATTGGTACTTATGTTGTGGCACAACATCATTATCTAAGCAGAACTGGATGGTGTATTCCATTTAAATATGTTAGGGTGAATATGTCTAGCCTGAAAGAAATATTGCAATTCATGTGCATTTCCTGTGTCTTTCAGAACAATGGGTCACTTGCTTGGTGCCAGAATCATAAACAGTGTTCAAAGGTAAGTCCTGTTTTTTCCTCTCTCATTTATGTTACCTATCTGCTTTCAGTCTCTTGACTGTAGATTAAATGCTTTTTTTCTTAGCTTGTTTTCAGAAGTAACTGTTTCTATTTTATTTGTAAACCTCAACCTGTAATAAAGTAACAAAAATAAAAACCAAGTGATTTACTCTTTCAGGACAAAGGAACCATGTTGGAGGATACATATCAAGTGTAGTTAAACCAACATAATTCTGTCATTTTAAGAAAGTTTACACTGGCTAGAAACTGGTGTCTCATTTGTGGTTTTGTCAGTATTTTTGGTCAGAAGAGAGTAAAACTGTCAATAACTTCAAAATCCTCCTCCAACAGCACCAGGGTATTTCAACATTCAACATTTAATTCAGTTTGGGTATTTAATTTTTATCTTGAACCTGAGTTTCTTGAAAAGTATTCTTGACTCAAATCCCAGTGGATCTACTGACGCCCCTTTCCCATTCTAGCATTTAAACCCTGAAAGCCTAAAGGGTAGATGGGCTAATTGTAAACTGATTCTCTTGTGCAAGGGTCTTCTGTGGTGCCTAGGTGGAAGCAACAACAATTTGGGAGCTTTAGTGGGTTTAGCTCAAGAGGAATTGCATATTTGTTGCTGACTGTTCATAAACCTCATGGAAGCTGCATTCATTGGAAATTTGCCTAAACGTCCTAAAAATGTGTTTCTATGACAATTTAGGCCTTTTTATTCATGAAGGTTGCACTGAAAATGGAAATAAATCTAAGTAGCATTGTTCTGCATTGTTTCAATAATGCAGTTGATGTTAAATGCTGAATGCTAACCTTTGATTTTAACACATGTTAATTTCTTGTGTACATTTAAAGAATGAGATTACACATTCGCTGATCTAGCTTCTGTTGACATAAAAGGGAAAATGGGCCAATTTCTTGACTGTTCTGTTGCAGGTAAATAAAACAAAGTTGATTGCTTTTATCAGTATTAAAATCCAGAGCATAACAGTGTCAATATAATAAAATAATGGAATGGAACATTTCCTATTATCTATGCCACATAATCCTGCTAAGGATTTCATGATAACTGAATTGCCTTTGCAGGAAAGCATGAGGGCCTTGTTCCATAGTGATCCATCACTTGTTCCATAGTTGGATATTGATCCTGATACATTTTTTAAAAAATTTTGTTGCAAAGCCTACTGTGGTAAGTAATCTGAAAGGTTTTCCAATGGTTTGTGCCTGCCCAACAAAGAAGGAATCACACAAGAAAAGTAGTCCAGGTTTTAAAGCAGGGCAGAGGTTACAAGAATCTCTCTGAGTCACTCCCAAGTTTATTGAATCCACATGAATTTTACCTTAAAATTGAATCAGTATCTTGAAACCAGTGTAAGAACGCTACAAATTAATATTATATTGTATTACAAAACAATGATATTTAAGTTTTAAATTACTTAAAATGTGCTTTGCAGTCATGTTACTCTATGTTTTTGATTCTTTCTTGGGAAGGTAATATATTTTCCTTAAGAAAGCAGCTTTGCTGTATTTAGAAAATAAATAAATGTAAACTTGGCCAAATTTTTAGCAGAGCTAAACTTAAGCATAATATTGTCTTTCCAGCATGGCTTTGATTTTCTGTGTTTTGCAATGCAAAGTTAAACAATTGCTTTAGCTAGCTAAAATTTTCAGAGTGATTCAGGGAATTCAGTTAGCGTTTTAAAAAATGCAAATTCCTTTTACTTCTTCTCAGCACCTCGGTGGAGGAGGTTTGTATGAGTGTGGCAGGTACTGGAAGATTCCACAAGGAACAGTGTGCTGCTCAACCTACTACAACTAACATGGAAGGCCTTGTTGGAGTTATAAAGGTTGAGGGCAGCCTTGGCTGCAGTGACAATGAGATTGTGGAATCCAGTATTAGGCAAGAAGGAGGCAGGGCAGCAAGTAAGCATGGACTTCAGGAAAGTAAGCTTTAGCCTCTTTAGGGATCTTCTTGGAAGAATCCTGTGGGGAAGAGGGATCCAGGACAGCTAGTTGATCTTAAGGATCACTTCTGCAAGGCTCAAGAATGATACATCCTGCTGAGCAAGAAATTTGGCAAAGTGGGCAAGAGACCTGTGTGGATGATTACAAAACTTGTGACATTTCTCCAATGTAAGTAGGAAATACACAGGAGATGGAAACAGGGGCAGACCACTTGGAATGAATACAGAGAGGTTGTCAGAGTGGGTAGAAATGAGGCAAGGAAGGCCACACATCTGGAATTAATGAAATGGGGACCGTGGTAACAGAGGACAAGGAGAAGGCAGAGTTGCTGAACTCCTTCCTTGCATCAATCTTCATTGACAAGACCAGCCTTCTGGAATCTCTGACACAGGAGATCTGGGTAAAGGAGTGTTTGTTGTAAGGTTTCCCTTGGTTAGGCTCTGATGGGATGCACCCACAAGTGCTCAGAGACCTGGTGAACACCGTAAGTAGACCAAACACAATCGCCTTTGAAAGGTTGTGACAATCGGGGGGAAGGGCCTGAGGACTGGAAGAAAACAAATGTCACCCCAGCCTTCAGAAGTGGCAAGAAGGAAGACCTAGGGAACTTACCAACCAGGCAGCCTCAATCTCTGAAAAAGTGGTGGAGTGCCTCACTCTGAAGTCCATCTCCACATGGATGACAAGTAGATTATCAGGAGCAGTCCTTGACCAACCTGATGGCCTTCTACAATGAAACAACTCATCTGGGTGCATGGGGAAATGAAGTGGACATTTTCTACCTCAATTTCAGCAAGGCTTTTGACATTTTCTCGCAATATCCTCATAAACAAGCTCAGGAAGGAAGGACTGGATGGATTGAGAACTGACTGGCAAATTGCAGAGGGATGTAATGGGGCACAGGGTCTGGCTGGGGCCTGGCACTTGTGGTAGCCCCCAGCGTTCACTACTGGGCCCAGTATTGTTTCTCTTGTTCATCAGTGACTTGGATGAGAGGGCAGATGCCTCCTCAGCAAGTTCACTGACAACACAAAGCTGTGAGGAGTGGCTGATAACCCAGAGTGCTGTGCAGCCCTTCAGGAGGATCTGGACAGACTGGAGAGGTGGGCAGGGAAGAACTGCCTGAAATTCAGCAAAGGCAGGGTCCTGCACCTGGGGAAGAACAGCCCTCTGTGCCAGGACAGGCTGGGGGCTGACCTGTTGGGGAGCAGCTCTGTGGAGAAGGACCTTGGGTGCTGGTGGACAACAAGCTGTCCATGAGCCAGCAGTGTGTCCTGGGGGCCAAGAAGGCCTGTGGGATCCTGGGGGGCATTAGGGAGAGCATTGCCAGCAGGGAGGTGATCCTGCCCCTCTGCTCAGCCCTGGTGAGGCCACCTCTGGAGTGCTGTGTCCAGTCAGGCCCTACCCATAGGAAGGTCTGCTGCCTGCTCCTGGGGGCCTGGGTAGGGATGCCACACAGAAATTTCCTAATCTGGAGCAGTCCTGAGACTACTACTCATTACTGATTTTCCACATAGGAGATGATGAAGTGGCAGCACGTAGTCCAAGGATGATCAAAAAGGACTTCAGCGCCTTGGAATGTTTGGCAAGGGAATCCGAGGCACAAGTTATAATTTCCTCTATACTTCCAGCTGAAGGCAGCAACGCTGGAAGAAACAAATGGGCTGAGTCTATTACTGCATGGCTCTGTGACTGGTATAACCACCAAAATTAGGGGTTTTTTTACCATGGAATGGTCTATGTAGCACCAGGCATGCTTGTACCAGTAAGGACTCACCTTTCTCAGGGAGGAGAGTTGCTGCTTTGAAACCAGAGGAATCTATTGATAGAGCTTTAAACTAGTTGTGATAGGGAATGGGTATAGTATCAGGTTTGTGCCTGGTGACCTGTGGGGTGAGAAGTGAAGGTTAAATGGACAGCATGCAAGGGGACCCTCTGCCAATGACTCTGAAATGTGTTGGCCACACTGGAATGCACTTGCAGTCTTATGGAGACTAGCCAGGGATTCCTGATGTAACAGAAACCAACAGGGAAACACCAGAGAATTATCTCAAAGGACTAAACCCTAAAGGGCTGTTCCTTTAGGAAGGCAACTGGCTGACAGGCCAGCTGAGGTGCCTTTACACCAGTGCATGCAGTGTGGGCAGCAGACAGGAGGAGCTGGAAGCCACTGTGCTGCTAGAAAGCTGTGGCCCTGTCGCTATTTCCTGACAAGGGGAATGGATTTGTGTGTTTGTGTAGAGGCATTTCAGCCTTCCACATTCCTGGGAGCTACTTAACTGTTCCCTCTAGCATTGACACACTCATTAAGATTGATACTACATGGTATAGAATTGTTTGTGTACTGAGGTTCCATTCATATTTGGTCTAGGTAATGAAAGTTAAAATATAGTATTTATTTTCTTTTCCTTTACCAGTAGATTGCTGCCAGCCTGTTGGAATTGCTGAGTAATGCAAAGGTGAACTCATAAACAACAGCATAAGGAATTAGAACTGCAAAGTGGAGAGGCTGAAAAAGAAAATGGGCTGGATTGAGCTGGGCTCCGTATTTCTTAACACAGTTAAGAACCAGCACCAGAATTCAGGACCAGCACCTGGATCTCAGTCAGCTCAACTCATTCCTAGACACCACAGGGGTAAAAAGCTTATCTGGGTTGAGAACCAGACAAACAGACACTCCCTTCTTTTTTTCTGTATACATGACTACATAAAACCCCAGTTCCTGTTGCTGACAGCTGGTTCAGCAAGGAATTGAAAATAGAACCTCTGCGAGGTTATTGTCTGGTTGAGGAAAGACAGTTAAAGCTTTAGATGAATCTAGTTTTCTTATGCATCTGGCCTAAAGTCTTCCATCACAGCCAAGTGTTTGGCAAAATATTGCAAAAAATACATTAATGCCTGTCATTTTCAGAGTGTCTTTAAATAATATTTTGACATGGGCTGTGCCTGTAGGTAGGCAAATATAACCTATTTTGGGCTTATTCCTCCTTTTCCCATCCCTCCGATTCCCATAGTTGGATAACTAATCGTATT